AATAACTATATAAGTAGAGAATAGTAATAGGTAATAACTAGAGAAAGTATATAGAAGATACTTTAGCTTATATAGCTTTTATAAAATAGACATCTTTTTTATAAATAGATTTAGTAATAGTATTTAGATATAATATTACTATTATAATATACTAACTAAAAGAATTAGATAAAAAAAGCTTATAGAGTAATAGAACTACTTTAAAAGAGAGAGAAAGTAGTATTATAGATTAAATCTATAACCTCTACCTAATTAGGCCTAGTATAGTATTAGGTAAGAAACTTTAAAACTCTATCTATATAGCTCTCTATTTCTATAATATAGTATCTTACTAGTAATATAATTTTAACTTATAATACACTTATTATAGAGTATAAGTCTACTATTATATAGGCGTTACAAGCGCTATATTATAGTGTAGAATACCTAGATTATACTAAAAATTATATCTAGAATATTTAATTAGAAGTATATAATAGTGTACGTATTAATATTATCTAAGTTATAATATTCTCTAGTAGAGCCTATATAGTAGAGAATCTAGATACTAATTATAAATTAAGTGCGCGCTATAGCTAACGTAGGTCTTATAGTTAGTAGTATTTAAATATAAACTTTTTAGATAAGATAAGTATATACGTTAGGTATTAATTAGTTTATAAATTTAGTAATCTAAGAGAATAAGCCTATATATAGCTTATAACGCTACCTATATAATACTCTAAGTATATAATTAAAGTAGCTAGTTGTTAATTCTACTATTATATTTAGAAGAAGAGAATTAACCTAGTTGCGTATTCTTAGAAGTAGTATAATCTAAGGTTTAGCTGTAATAAGTAAAGGATACTTAAAATTTAGCTAGCCGGATACTACAGACGCTGCTAGCTTAATCCTCCGGTTACAACACGAAAACTGTATTCCTAAACAGCCCTGTAAACATTCCTCAATCGTCATGCCCTTATTGCCCCACTCTCGCGCCACTCGTTGAACTCCAGCCACTCCCTGTATCTCCTCGCTTCGTCATCCCGCTCCGTCGCGCGGGGTTGCGCACTACCGGCCCGATTGTCTGAGACGTTAGCCCGATGTACCAAGATGCAAAGCCGCGGGACTCACTGTTCTGAACATCGTGTAAACGTTTGCTGATGCTCGGCCATGCGAGACCGATGGCGAAGCAGGATAATGCTGCAATGACGCCGACCAAGGTGAGAATGGCCTCCTTCGACCATGATTTGGATAGTGGGTTCGATGCGGGCGGACTTTGCAATGTCTCCAAGTTCTCCGGGCGAGTAATAGGCTGCGCAAGACTAAGTTTTGTGTGAACGACAAGTAAAGCAAAAGACGTGATCTGAGAAGGCATGCTGTGCTATAATCACTTGATGCGACGTCTAGCTTAAGTTGTGTCTGGTTGTGAGACTCTCGTCAATTCGCATTTCAGCGATTTTATGAACCTCTACCGGTCACCCCGTCTGTTGCCTGGTCGTGCGGCAATGTACAGCCAAGCTATTGTGGAAGTATGTGACCAATCAGGGTGATCAGGACATCTGCGAGAAGAACAGGGCTATTCCGCCATTGCGTGGGAGCAGACTATTGGTCTTCGTGACGAGAGACAATGAACCCTGGCAGACATGATGAGCGCACAGGGCGACTTGCACGCTGCCGGAAGTAGTGCTCGTCGACTGAGGCGCGACAGTCTCTGTACGTTATTTCCATGTGTCCTGCGCGGCTGATGCGGGGAATACCAACATCGAAAGGCCAGGTTCTTCCGTTACCTGTACCGGTTCACCCCCCAAGATAACCTCAATCTACGCAATAGCAAGACTGCAGTCATCATCATCTTGAACCAATTTTGAACAGACGTAGCACTGCGCCGAAGCAGCCTCGTGCGCTCTTTTGCGGCACACCACTCGCTTTCTTCTCCAAGTGTACTAGCTCCTGCTCTTTCTCCAGCTCCAACTCGTTTGCGCGTCGCACTCTCTCCTTCATGTCTGCGCGATGCATGTCGCCGAGACCCATCTTCGCTTCTTCACGTTCCGAGTTCCACTGCGACAGGCTTTCGCGCGTCGGTATCGCGCGCTGTCCGACTCCAGGGCTACTTCGATGTGCGGCCACAGCTATGTCGGGGTGGCGAGCCAGTGGGGGCGGCGAAACGTACTGCGGCGGAGGCCCGTGATATATACCCGGCTGCGCATGACGATGGAGGGATGAGCGGTGCGTATGCTGGGATAGAGCGTCTTCAATCGGTGAAATATTGAGGCGCGAGGACGATGTACGCTGCTGGCCGCACGACCCCGATTGCGCAGCTTTGAGTGCAGTAAGTGACTCCGAACGCGCTCTTCGCAATTCGCCTTGGTGATGCTGCTGAGCGGAGCGAGATATGCTGCGTCTCCGGTTCTGTCGTGACGGGTCACCATGAGCAATGCGCTGGGTAGGCAGCGATGCCGAAGGTGCTGTCAGTTCCAGCTGCATCGGGCCTGCTGAGTTCGGTCGCGGGCGGTTCCCATGGGCCGGGGTGGGTATTTGGCGATATCTCAGCTTCGAGTGCAAGCCGACGGGGATGAGTGGAAGTTCGGCTGCATTGAACGGTTTATCGATTGAGTCAGAGTTCGTTCCTTGTGCGGCGCAATCGAAGAACCCGGCACCTGTGTACACATCACTAGCCTCAAGACTATGCGACCAGGGACGTGACTGGCTGTTCATGGTTCCAACGCTGGATCGGCGGTCAAGAGTGCCGCTTGACGACGAGGAAGATAACAAATCGCTCAATGAATGGCCGTTGGCGAGTAGCTGAGGATGACTGGAATATGATCGAAGATTGAGCCGTGAGGCAGATCGCACTGATCTTGTCTCCATTCTGGGATAACTTCCATCTTGCGGCATGTGTTGCAGGGATTGACGGCGGCGTTCCCGCAATGTTACTGCTCCTCTGTAACACAAGCCGGGGTGGTCTCGTCTGGCGGTCCAGTCTTCCTCCTCCAGATTCATCCCTCTGTCAGAAAGACTGTGTTCGTACCGTTCTTGGTGGCTTACTGAAGAATGCGAAAGCGATGCAGGAGCCGTGACTTCGATTTGAGAGCATTCCGAGCTCGACAATCGTCGGTATCGACTTGGTTGTTTTATAGCCGTCTCAGCATTCTTGCCCGCTTTGGGGACGCGTTCCCGGTCTCGCGGCAGCATCTGTATTGCAGCAGCAAAGGGTGGGAACTCAGGCGTCGCAAGGTCAATCGCATTGAGTTCGCTGATGCTATGGAGCGTGCGGCGTCTTTCCTGTAACTGTTGTAGGCTGGTTCGATGCTGAACTTTGAGCGATTGAACCTGAGGATGAGGCTTCTGGAGAGGCATGTTGAGGGTCGGTTTTCCTGGAAGAATGCCAGGTTGCTTTCGGATGCTCTAGTCAACTCATATGTCGAGCTCGAAGGGTTGTAAGGTCTCGCTGAGTGCTTGTGAACTCCTGGAGGTTTGTACCGATGCCGCGCGCCTTGAAGCGTATTATCGGTGATATCGGAACTGAGCTGCATATTGTGCTACGAACCCTGCATACTTGCCAAGCGAGCATTCGTCAGCGGTGTGGCCGTTCAGTTGCCGTCGCACCTCGAATGGGTCTTTGGACAAGCAGACGTGGAGCGGGGACACGGATTGCTTTACGAGTAGCGGTCAGTGTAGATGCTGCTGTTCACGAGGAGTGACACGAACGTCTTGGCATAGTCTCGTATATTCTGGGCAACATAACATCACGCCAGTTGACGCGAATAGTAATGCGGTAGTGATTCTTTGAGTTGCTGCAGCGTGCGTGCGTGCTCGAGTCGACACCTGCGCCTCTAATATGTCAATACCACTGCTTTCCGCATATCCAGTGATTCGGGGCTTTGCTAGGTGGATCATGACTGCGATGAGGCGGTTGTTGCAGATCATCTCGGGAAAGCCATTTCTTCGGCGACCCAGCCGTGAGGGTCGAAGCGCGTGGCGGACAGGTGGTCGGGCAGGGTCAGCCATGTCGGGTCCAGTATGACTGGAAAGTAAAGTCACATTATGGGTACAGCAGCCTAAAATTACGCTCTTATAGGTCACCGCGGATGCGCCACCATATTGGGTCCGGTGCGACGAGGTGCAGCAGAGGATCGGGCCGTGAGATCGAGACGCTTGTGAAGACGATGTAGAAAAGAGCTATCCAGCCATGCGAAGTCCGTCGAATGAGAAGCGCGTGAATGCTGGCTGCATGGATGAAGATGATTAGCATCCTTTCACAACGCATGGAAGGCTCTTGTGTAAGCCAAGGCCAACGTAGCTGCCGTGCGATTTGGCGACTCTAAGACATCGCACCTTCTGGCGTCCTCCAAGCTTAACACTTGATATAGGCGAAATTGGTAGGATGTTTGCACATTCGGGTTTGATTGCGAGGACGCCGGGGCGCGATCGGTGAATGGGATGCGAGATTGGTAGGCGCGGAGACGTTCACTTCATTGGTGTTCGCTGCCCATAATGACGTCTGGTGTCTGGTGTATCTCTATCCTCATTAGCCTTCCTGGGCGTGCGCATCATCTCTAGCTTCCGTCGGTCCATCTTGTGTCGAGAGGTTCTTCTCTCTTTCCACCTTCCTTGCCTTCATGTCCGCCGTCATCCGGCTCATCCTCGCGCGTATCTCATCCATTCTGACCGCAATATCATGCGTGTTGGGGCTGGGATCCCGACCGTGATCGACGCCGACGGCGAGCTTGTCGCGCATAGGTCGCGGTGTAGGTACGCGGGGCGTGTTCGCGTCATGCTCGGTCTGCGCATCAGCTATAGCAGTTCTAAGGAACCCCGGATTGCTCGTGCCATTGGTCTTTACGGGAAGTTTGCTGTTAGTATAGATTGAAGAGCAGGTACTACGCCGGGTAGTGGCCACGTCATTCAGCGATAGAGAGAGGGCTGAGTCCGAGCGTAGGTGAGCGGGCAACGGGAAGGACGCCCTGGGTATCAGTCTCTTGATGGACTTGGGTGGGACGGGCGGAGCGTGTTCGAGATCAGGTGAGGGGCCCCTGTGCTCGTCGTTTGGGGTTCCCTGGATTTGTATCCGAGTCGCCCGGAGACCGTGGGTTGCGGAAACCGGACGGTGCGACTGAGATGCTGACGCGACTCCGGATGCAGTCTTGCTGTTGCTGGCTGTCGCTTGGCACCATCCCAGGCTTGCTTTCGTCGGCCGGGCATAGCTGGGCGCATTTGTGGTAGACACAGTCGACCTCAAGCTGGCTGTTGCAGGCTGAACATGACCGGAGGCGCTTCCAACGGCCGGAGTTGGCTGGCTCCCGTATTGCACCGAGGCTGGTGAGGGTGATGGCGTAGGTGTAGGCGACTGGCATAACTGCGAGTATCGCGATGTTGGTTGCGAGGCCCGTGGGCTTGCTTGCGATGTGGTCGAACTACGTCGCGGTCGCGACAGTGAGGTGAACAGCCGCTTACTCAGTGAAGGCGAAGTGCGGCGGCATCTAGAGATGGCGCTAGGCAGCGACGTGTTAGTCATACTGGCAGGTGCAGTTGGTCCACCTGGAGTCGCGACTTCCTGCCCAGCATCAAAGCACTTCCCCATGACAAGCTCCACCTGAGCAGCAACATCGTCAAAGTCCAGCGCTTCGAGCACATCCAGCGCTTCCATCTTGTCGTTCAAGGCTGCGCACCACTCATGACTGACCGCGTTCAGAGATTGGGCTATCCTCTTGTTGCGAGCCGCGATGTCCACCCAGTCGCGATAGGACTGAAGTCCTTTCTTCATGTCTACGCAAGCTTTCGCGACGTGCTTCTTGCTTAAAAGGGCACACGGGTCTAGCACCTCAAGTGCAGCAACGTTCGCTGCGTTGTTGGTGATCTTACGCCAGATGACAAGCAGCCTTTGTAGGTCGCATCCGACAGTGAGCAAGTTATTGCTAGCTATCTCAAGCACATCTCGTATGTCGCCGCATATGTTGTTAATGGTGTTGGAGTCCACAAGTAGAGCGAATTGAAATCGTTCGATGCTGTTGATGAGCTCGCTATATGGATCAACAGATAAATCGGGACCCGAGTGCGACTCGATGGCGGTAGAGACCTCCGAGATCCGGGGGCTTGCGGAAGCCGGGATCAGGTCAGGTGTGAGACTTCGCGTATATGTATGGTGAGGAACTCGTGTCAGTGGGCTTCCGAAGTGGGTGGTGATAATGGTTGTTGGGGAGGAGACCATGCCGGCTATAGGAGAGAACGATTCGGTCTCAGGACGCTGTTCTTCCTGCGTGTACTGTGCAGGTATCGGTGAAGCCACAGGGGCAGAGATCAGCAGCTGTGCTCTCACTCTCGTAGAAAGGTTGTTGTCCGACTCGAGCCTCAACGCACTCCCAGTCGCCTCCGCATCCTTTGATCGACCGTCACGGTTGTGGACACGTCCCCAGAGACCCTTCGCCGCGCGCTTGACCCAGGTTTCCTTGACATCGTGGCCGTCCTGACCTTTGCGCGACGCCATGTCAGCATCACTGCCCTTCCAAGTCTTCCCACACGGAAGGAACTTACCTCCTGCGACCGTATTGGCACGTCTGCGCCATCTCCGCAGGCCGCTATTCTCTGCGGCCTCGGGATCCATCCGGCGGGTAACGAACGCGCTGAACGCACCCATTGTGTCTTCGGCGAGCTGGGTATTTGGAAGAGAGAGGATACGCTTGTTGCCGAGATGCAGGATTGATTGCTGGAAGAGGCTTCTCGTATAAGCTTGGTTAGTGGTCGGTACGTGTATGAGATGTGGTGTGAAGCTGTCAGTCGCGCAATATTGCGGGTTGCGCGCATACGAGACCCTCGCCATTGTGGCTCTCGTTACCAGACATTTCGGTGTGGAGAGGCATGACACAGCGGTTTATTGGCTCTGCCCGCTGGTCGCTGGTCAGTTTTACGTATGCTGCGAGGGTCCAGGAAGCCCTCTCGCGGCCAGCGCAATGGCAAATCTACCGGTAATCAGGAGGTTTGTCAGCCTCACGATATTCATTCGAGCGTCTGCCCTGCGCATGTCAGTCTGTCGCAATATGCCGGATGGCACTGGGCATCTGCAGGCTGCGGGCGCTGACAAGCTGCTCGGAGCGACACGGCGCAGCCTGCATTGGGTACCAAAGTATGCACAGCATGGAATGCGACCGCCTCGCCAGAAAAATGGATGGTCATTATGGATTCTTTTATTGTCGCATGCTATCCGAGCCCCTACAAAGCAACCAGTGTAACTCCTAAACGCTCAAACATGTATCCCCATATAACGCTGCCCCGTTGTTCGCGGTCGGCGCCAGCTGCGGGGCGGGTTCGTGACGGTCGTGGAACGAGGGGGAATGCAACATCCATCAAGCACTATTCGCTGTTAAGTTCAGTTACTAGGTGTCTCGCCAGGACGCTGGCGAAGAAGAAAAGACGAGGGGGGAGGATAGGAGGGGTGGTGGTCGAGGCCCGGACTGCACGGCGAGCGGGAACGCGAACAATGTCATTCGAAGGAAGAGGGCAACGATAGTTGTGTTATTGGCTGCGTGATGCCAATTAGCACTCGTCCATGCTCATCTTCTAGAGACACTTGGTCGCCTTCGCTCGCTCGTACAGTCATGTATAGGCTCGATGTAAGCGAAAGGGCGAAGGCAGGGGTCGACTTACTACAAGCTCAAAGTCAAATCGCCGCGGATGCTCGCTTTGAGTTCAATCTCGATCTCCAAATTCGCCTCGAGCGTCAGCTTCAGGCCGTCCTGGTCCTTGAGCTCGCTGCCCTTTTGCTGCGGCTCCATGCGGTAGGGCTGGTTGGGGTCGGTGCCGCGCATGGGGATCTCGCCTCGCATGGCGCGGGCATATGTGACGGGCCCGTCCATGGATGTGCTGTCCGGGCCGATACGCTCGAACATGCCCATCTTCTGGAGATCGCCGTTTGCGTCGGCTTCCTCGAGGGCTTCCAGCGACGTCGTGTGCATGTATTTGCCGTTCTTCTTGTCTTCTTCGATGCGGTTGCGGCGGGCGCGGCGCGACGAGGAGCGCGACCGGGCGGATTGTAGGCCCGCCTCGCGCTTGTCCTGCTTGGCCTTGTTCACAGCCTTCTCCTGCTGCATCGTCGACCGCTCGTGCGGCTGGTTCTCATAGTCGGAGTCCTTGTCGGCCATGTCGTCGGGTATCCTTGCTATCATGCAAGGCCTCGGGCGGTTGGAGGAGGCTGTTCTAGATGGGGATTGTCTGCGTGAAGGGGGTGGAGGATTGCGCAGAGGTGGCGAGGTAACGGCGATGGATGCGAGCAAGATGTGAAGTCAGCAAGGTCGAGCAGCAAGCGGAGCTACTACACGCCTACGCACGCCACGACTGGTACGGGCAGCTCCACTCCAAAAACAAGATTACTCGCAACGGCCTGGTCCTCTGTAGCCCCCAAAGCAAGGACGCCGCCGCCGCAAGCTTGCACCCCTGTCTTTTCATCCGTCGTACCGTCTCACCGTTTCAGGCTCGCTACGGATGACGTCAGGCCCACATCGAGCGACACCAGCCATTGCGTTCCCAATCGGGTTGACAGCCGCTGCGTGACGTATGTCAAGACGATGCATCTGCGCGCGTCTTTGCAAGTCGCCCGACAATTGCACACATGCTGACGACGCGCGCAGCGATGGCGAAGCACAACCAGTCTCGCGCCCACGCGAGTGGCTAGTCCGCCCGCCGATCGCTTAACGCGGACCGTTGATCTCGCGGGCAACGGCTGTGCAATACTCGATCCTGGGCATAATAGTTGTCAAGTTTAGACGCAGGCTCGGATAGCTTACTTCATGCTCAATGAGTTGACGTCGCATGCGCTCTCGGTTATTGGGGTATTATTACAGGGCCTGGTAATAGCACGCGTAGTAGAGACACCCCCTGACGCTCCGATGATCATGACGAAGATGGATGAGATTACAGAAACACCAACGCCATCAGTATGCCAGCGCAATGATTCAGCAATAAATGGTGGTGCAAGTTGTTCATTGTGTCGTATTATACTGCAATACGTATCGTAACACTACATGCAAAACTCCAAACCAAACGCCATTATGATCTCCCAATATAACAATCGATGCGTTTCGTGCATTCATCCTCGGCCATCGTCTAGTTACTGCGCAAAGTTAGCATTTGGCTTCGGTGATAAATGACTGCAGGCTCGACTTACAGCAATCCAAGCGTGAGATCACCGTGGATCTTGGCCTTCAACTGGATCTCAATGTCGAGGTTGAGTTCCAGACGCAGCCTCAGCTGCTCACCTCCGTCCTTTCCACCCTCCTCTTCACCGCCGCCGCCGCCAGTGAGACCTCCGAGGGCCTTGCCAGCGGTGTCTCCAACTTGGTTGACGGCGTTGCCGGCAGTGTTTTGAACCATTTCGCCGGCTCCACCGACTGCATCGCCTCCAGGGACGTTCTCAGTGATGTCGTCTAGCGGACCTCCGCCCTTGCCGCCCTTCTTTTGGCGCTGGCGGTTGCGACGGCCTCCAGATTGGGACACGTCGGATCGCGCATCAGACTCGGCACCGGAGTCTGCGCCCCGTCGGCCACGGCCACGCGACTGGCGGCGTCTCGATTGCGACTTTGACTTTTCTTGTTGGGGTTCGTCGGACTCGTTGTCAGCGTCGCCGCCGTTGGTTTGCTTCTTGGATTCTGCGTCCTCTTGCTCAGCTTTCCCTTCGCCATCGCTTTCGGGGGCAGGAGTGGCGTCAGGAGTGGGCTGCTGTTGAGGCTTCTTTCCGCCCAGCTTCTTCGGCGTCTTCCTTTCGGTTTTCTTACTCGATGATTCCGCACTGCCCTTTGCGCCTACCGAGGCGTTGGCATCCGCGTTTCCCTCTCCGGAGACAGACTGCTTGGTCTCTTCAACGGTGTCCGCCATGGTGCTGTTTGGGTGGTTCTTGTGTGGGTGGGAAGTAGTTAGACGGGTGATGCGTGACGAGCTGAAGGTGCTTCGGAAATTGTTGCGAGTCCAGAGCCGCGGCGCAATTCGTTAATAAGAGAAAAGCGGCCTGGGAACAGGAACCGGTTTGAAGCTTCAAGGTACCTGCTACCCCTGCCGCACTCGAGCCACCCGTCATGCAGTCTGACGCACCATGTGGCACCCACATCCACCCCACCGCCAGCGTCCCAAAACTTGACCCCATCCCTGCGCGCTGCCAACCTGATTATTTTAGATCCGAAATCGTGCTTGCAGCTTGCGACGGTCTAGCTGTTCCGCTCAACCCGATGCGTTGCGAGCTCGTGTGTCTCTGGTCTCGCTTGCTGGTCATTGGCGCGCGCATCAAGCAACGCGTCAGCTGAATGCGCTTGACATCAACGTTTTGGGACATGCTGTGGCACGGGCGAGGCCTCGATCAGTGGTCTGGCGGAACGTTTACCCATAGGGTGCGGGAGACTTCATAGCGCGCACAATAGATCTGAGGTAGCGCAGCGTCGAAAGAATCCCGCGATAAATTCGATATCATGAGCGTTGTGCTAGCGATCGTTGGGAAGACGCAATCGCGGGGCGCACCAGATCTTCCCCGATGGCCGGCCCGAATTGCGCCGGTCTGGCGGGTATCGTGACGACGGCAATTCCATACGTGCCTCGACCAGAGCTCAACGCGAGCAACCAGTCAATTGAGCACCAGCATACTACCTTTCCAGCATGACATCCCCAGAAGCTGCAGATGCAGCCGCAAAGCAGCGGATCATCAAGCACATGAATGCAGACCACCACGACTCCGTACGCGCCACCCACTTCATGCACCGTTGATGTCGAAATCGAGTTCCAGCCCTAATCTTGACCATAGATACGCCGGTATGCCGAAGCGTACGCTTCCAAGTCCATGATGCAGAGTCGCTCGGCTCAGATGGTCGACGTTGATCTGAACCAGATGGTCTTGAGCTGTGGTGGGCAACAAGCTGTCATTGCCTTCGACCCACCGATGAAGGCCATGCGCGAGGCTCGCGAGCGGCTTGTTCAAATGGACAAAGACGCTCTCCAGACCCTGGGCCGAAGTGACATCGCCATCACGAAGTTCGTTCCTGCGTACATGCGTCCTGCTCATCTGTGGAACTTTATGCAATGCGTTCTTGCCCTGCTCTTGCTGCCGCGGCCGGCAAACTGGCAGTCTGGATCGCCTCTTTACGACACCGTGTTGTATCTTGTGCCAGGCTTCGCGAGCTTCGTCGCTCGAATCGGCTTCACGGTTTGGGCCATCATGGTACCTATCCACATGGTTGAAGCGATCATCATGGCGAGGAAGCTTGCAAAACACGGGTGCACGTTTCTTGATGCGGTATGGTGGAAGTGGGTGGGCACGTGTTTCGTTGAAGGGTTCACGTCGTTCTTCAGGCTGAATGCGCTGATCGCGGAGAAGAAGAAAGAGAAGGACGCGAAGAAGCATTAAAGACTACAGAGTTTTTGATGCGAAGGCGTCCTTCGTGGTGTAGCATCCTCAACTCCATGAGATCATCTCTGACGGCGACGCGCCCATATTCCATACCGTTCAGGACTTCTTCTTGGCATCCAATTAAGCACTGCGAACGTAATCCCGATTTCGTCGAGTTGGTGTTACAGGAGATGGAATATGCTTGCAACGCCAACTCGATGAATTCAGAATCACGTACGCAGAGAATGCCATTCATACAGTCTACATTATACACGTCTCTTTATTATCAGCCAGATACGCTCCTGTTGCTAAAGTTTCATCGCATGTGATGCGTTTCGACATGAAAAGCGCCTCATTCGCTTTAGTGATACCCGGCTATCTCAGGAATGATGTACTCGCATTCTCCGTCGAGATATTCGACTTACCATTCTGATTTGGGGATAGGGATGCCGGTGGCAGGGAAGTACTTGGTGTTGGCAACGATGTCGGTTTTGTGTGGATCTTGTTGCATGGTAGAATCATATTTGACATCTCGCGCAACTCATTGGTGCTGAATTTTGCCCATGGACGGTACGTCCAGACCACAGCAAGGTATCGTGGGTGCTACATTGGTCAGCATTGAGCAACTTGGAACGGGTGAACCACCTAAACGAAACAGCAAATTTTCAGAAAGCAGATGATAATCGCATCTTCGTCTTTCGTCTTCCGTCACCGGTCCTTGACCACACACTTAACATTCCAGGATCAAACCGAGCTCATACCGACGCCTGGCGACACGGCGCACGAGGAACCTTGCCCTATACCGCCGCGATGCCTCCGAAGCGAAAGAGCGAAGCAATCACGACTGCAAAGCCTGCTAAGAAAGTTAGGGCAGGCGGCGCCTCTACACGCACACATCCTCTGAATAAGCCGGCCGGCGATGAGATACCCGTCAACGGCAACATCAAGAAGAGAAAGCGCAAACAGCCCCTCTATCCAAGCTCACGACCATCCACAGCTACGATGGATGGTACAGCGTCCTCTCCATTCATGGCCCTGCCGACCGAACTGCGCTGCCAAATCTACAACTACCTGTCCGCCATCGTCTACGATCCCGTCTTCCCCGAGCCGTGCATCTGCAGCTGGGAAGTATGTCGGATGCCAACCGCACTCCTTCAACTCAACAAGACTATATACGAAGAAGTGAAGCATCCCGCGGTACAGAAGCCTCTACAAAAGGTCAACGATGAGCTTGCGCCCAAAATTATTCTCGGCCCGACGCGCGCTGAGATAGACCCGGTGTACGTCGCGCTCTCGGATACCTTTCATCTCGCCGGCAAACAACTGCGTACGTACCTGGATGGACCACAAAAGCACGGTACTGCGGTCAAATATGTTAGCTTGAAGATCGCATCGTGGTACAATGACACGTATGTACGGCAGCAAGTACAAAACGGGAATATGAGGGCTTCAAGTGCGCAGACCAAGTGCAAGACCAAGCACTTGCACAAGTTTGTCAAACAGACTTTGAGAAGAATGGCGGTTAGGAAGACCTGCGAGATTCGCATTCGAATCCTGAACCACCCACTGGGGCCGCTTCATAAGCGAATATATAAGCTCGGTGATCCATTCTGTAACTACACAGAGTACGAGAGATTGGCCGCGAAAGACACTATACGGCGAGCTCTGAGTGTCGGGATGAAGCGCGAACTCAGGACCGTGTACACAGCAGCGCGCGCAGACGCCCACAAAGGTATTCTGAAGATGATGGCGAACCACTTTCGATCGCAGAGGATGAACATCACGTTCTCGGTGGCGCGCGCGAGAGATCGGCGCTTGTTTGACATGGCCAAGTCACTCTGTTGAGTGTTTTGCCACAGGGGATGCAGCTGCACCCGCTCTCATCACTCTCTACGGCAGCACAAGGATATTCAGTAGTCCCAACATATTGGACAAGCCCGGCCATGTACGCTAGAATTACACATCGTGCGTAACTCTTCTGATCCTGTGCCGATGCCTACGTGATGTTTCAACCGGGAGGTGTATGTAGGACTAATCGAGTTTTTTGCAGTCAGCCGGGGTGCTTGATACGCGAACGCGATGGCCGGCATGGCTGCTGGAGTTGATGTACGCGTCGAGATTGCAACCATGTGAAGACCGAACCTCCTGCTCGGGAAATACACAATAGGGCACGAGCTGCCGACCATTGCGGTTTGCAATGTACATGCGACAACGTGAAGATGGGGAGCATAATCCTCATCGATAGCGACAGGCCCGACGTGAGCAGCAACGACTCAACGAGTGCGGTTCCGTACTCCATGTAGAGATTACAGTGTCATGCTCTACTGTTCGCTATACCCAGATAGCATCGTAGGATACCAACTAACGTCTCCACACACATGTTGTCCAGTTATATTATGACGTTGTCTTCCTGTCGTGCACCGTGGCGCATGTTCGATCGCGCGTTCTGGGGGAAGTTCGTGGCGGTATACGGGAGTGCATCGTGCCGAAGGAGAACGGTTCGTCATGCTCTGGGTGACATCAGTATCCAGGTGCAGGTTACATTGCGCACACCGGTGTGGTCGTATCCGCGTCTATGCCGTTGTCAATGTGTGTCAATAGATGCGCTGGAACGTAGTCAGAAGGCAGCGGTTGGTGTTGATCGATGAGGCCACGGTAGTTGACGAGGCACGCAGATGCGCATCGGCGATGATAGGAACTTAGATATGTGATGTGATGAATGCTGCCATTTCGTTTGCGATACCTCGGCACCAGGCAACCCGGCCAAGATTTTAGGAGCGTAGAACCTCTGCTTCGTTGGGAACCGGTGTGTAGGGCGGATATGGAGTCGAGTGGTCAGTTCTTTTGGGTTGAACCATGGGTAAGTGCCCGAGACTTGGAAGCGATGTGTCCTGCGGATGTGTCTTGGGCAGCGCGCAGAGCATAGTTCAGGCCCCTGGTCTTGGAATGTCCGATGGAGAAAAGGTTCGGCATTGCCGGCCATCACGATATGTTGTGGAGGCCATTAGACACTGTTGCAGACCATGGCGACTAGTACTGGACCGTGGAGTATGGGGCCCGTAGTCCAGTCCCTGGGGTCAGTGCGGGTATGAGGGGTGTTGCGGCGCGAACAGGATGACGGCGGTCGCTGACTTCGCATTCGTATATCATTTCTGTGTCGGCCCAGGTATGAGTCTCGATGTGCGATGTACGTAGGTGGTGCACTCGTTGGGTTGTTGGTGCTCACGTCGGCGTTGCCGCTATCGATAATGACAGTGTTTCAAGGAGCCGCTAGCCGTTCCCATCGACGCTATGACGTCGATGCTCACGCCTCACCACCGTGTTGGCGCCTGTCGAACCTTATTGATGTCCTAATTCTGTACCACACACGACCACACTCTTCTTCCTCTTGCTACTCTTTCTCCCCGTCATCGTAAATACCTTGTTGCAAACCCTTGACTGTACTTTACGTCCTTCTCTGGCATCTCTCTGGATTGTACTTACTGAAAGCATTACCACATACTTACAAATCCTCGAGAGCGTCGAGTAGCGCGTTGCGCACGACGGCTCATTCGACCTCGCGCACGGATATAGTACTCCGATGGTGTACTGCTAATACTCTGACTTTGACGACCCTTCTCTACAAACCCTCTTCAGCCTACGATCTGTCGCACAAAATCGATTTCCACAGATCGTGAAGAAATTCCGGTTTATTAGTGCGAAGATTCCGGTAAAGTTTGACATGGATACGCTAACGACGTCTAGGTCACTCTAGGTATGAGACTATGATCGGGCTTACGGTGAACCCTCGACATACACGATGCAGGCTCATGTCCTATTATCAACAAAAGTATTCCTGTTATACAGCGATGAATTGAGAGACCTCTACGCGAACAAAAAGCAACGATGACGACGGCGATGCGCGATGGGAAGGTTAGACGTAGCTTGCAGCGGGCCGTTCGCCTCGACCCGCATCCTTGGCTATATGTCTCGACACCACGACCCAGACTCGTCCAGAACACGCAGCGCTCGAAACCCGAAGTGCGCCCGTGCACACAAGCGTAGAATATTGCTTCCACTGAAGGGTCATGCCTCAGGTCAAGTGTATTTGGTGGCTGCAGGAAAAGGCCCTTCCCAAGTTGTCTTCGCCCAAGCTCAACTGAGGTGTGTAGTATCAACGGTGAAAGAACCTCTTCGCCAGGACTAGCGCTTCCGCATCTCTACACCGACGTAACGCCGCTGGAATCGTTCGATATCCGCAGCTTGAACTCCACGGTTGTAACGGCGGCCCACTTAACTATATATGTGAGACCGTACCCCAGAAAGCGGCAAGATCTATCGGCTGCAGTTGCCCACCTCCAACTCTTGAGCTGTCTTATTTCTTCTTATCATCTCTTGTCTTCCTCTCTATTTCATACTCTGACCTTGGCTTACACTCTTCTCTCGACATCTCCTCATCGGTTGGCTCAAAGTCTTGTCGTGACTACTACTCATCCTCTCTTCACCCTTACTCGAGCTTCACTCAACGATCATGGAGGACGCTACCTGGAAAGAGACCCGACCAGGTCGATGGGAGCGCGCACAGACCTACCTCGAGAGAATCAACATACTCACGCGCAACGTCCCCAACGCCATCGGCCGCGACAACTGGGCCAAGAACGCCGTTGCCAAGCTCGAATTCCACCCGGACATCAAAGACCCTGCTGCCTACCTGCGGACGGCCTGGAAACAAGTCCGTTACAACCACCCTGAGATTGCCGCATTCCCATACAACGGTCGATACATCTACCGCGTCGGAGACGAACCCTCCATCGCGTTGTGGGTCTCGGCGACATTCTCTGTCGCAGAGGGCAAGACTGTGGATGAACTGCTGGGACGGATTCCACGGAACGAACAGATGATGTGCTACTTCCTTCCCGACACATCCGAAGTCATGATCTGGTCGCCTCACTACCGCGTCGACGCCCGCGGCGCAATCTTCTGCCTCAATCACCTCGTCGAGTCCCTGGCCAACATGAACCCGAACCTGGTCTTTGGCGGGTGTGCCAAGAACCTAACGCCGAGCATGGAGTTGACGCTTGGAATCGGGCACGAGAAGACACCAGAGATTGAAGCGCAAGCTGAGAGCCGTCTCGCAGCACTAGAGCCCCACAAGCCAGCCCTGGAGCTGACGCCCACGATGAAATCGCAGAGACCGGGTTACACTCAGCGACACTACGTCAAGCTGTCCAAGCGCGACACCAAGACCGTCATGGATAGTTGCGAGACGCGCGCTCTGGCCATCGACGTCGCTCTACACGCCGCCCTCATCAGCTCCGTTGCCAAACTGGCACAAACAAAGGAAGCACGAAGCTTCATGGCTTCGTTCCACTCCAACCTCCGCACTCTGATCCCAGAAGGCGCAGCGCCAGAGAACTCGCCCACAAGCTACACCAGCGTCATCACCACGGAAGTCATCGTCTCGCCAGAAACAGACTTCGACTCTTACTACTCGCAACTCGCACCCGTCTACGCCGCGGGCTACGCGCCGTACCTCCCGTCGTCGCCGTTCTTCCACCAGCGCCTCGAAGAGACGCTGTACGTCAAGAAGTGCGAAGCGGACGGATCACCACAGCCGCGCTTTGCTTTCCTGGGCGAGGTAGACGAGCAGGTCAGCAAGAACATCGGCGATGGACTTGTCAAAGTCAGGGACTTCTGGCTGGGCGCTGAGACCCTGACGATGCGCATGATGGTGCACACGTGGATCTGGGAGGGCCAGCTCGTCCTCAGCGTCTGCTTCAACGAGAGCTATTGGGATAAGGAGCAGGCGGCCAGTCTGCTCGGTGGCATGGAAGATGCGCTGTTGGGGGTTGCGCTGATGAAGAGTTCGAGGGTTGATAGTGCGTCGGGTTCGAAAACTTCGTTGGTGGATGTCAAGTTGGCGGAACTGACGATATAGACTGCTTCGACTGCGTGTCTAAGATTTGATAATGGCTATTTACAGTGCACGATACCATGAATAAGAATGTTTCCTCCTGTTAACTCACGCAAATGCATGTGATAGCGATCGCCTGAGACGTAGTCTGTACGGTAATGAAGTTTGCTGTGGTCCGCGCCGATGTCCGCAGACAAGTGCTTCAAGCGTAGCGGGGCGAAACTCACTCCTTCCGGCCCGTGAACATTGCTAGTCATGTCCCCATCTGATTTTGAGTTTTATCGCTCGCTGCCCAAGGCCTATGTACAACTACAAAGCCAACATCTAGGTGTACCCATGGATTCGGTGGTGTGCAGCGGAGCAACGGCTAATGTGTTCGAAGCCTACCAAGAGCGCTTGACTTTGCTTGGGGTTCAGCCCACTATCCGCGTAATGACTTGTCATACACGTCGCATAATATATGCAGGATGTACCATCTAGTCTACGAGGTTGTGCCGAAGTCCGCTGTGGCCGACAACATCCCGCGGATGCTGTCATCGCTATATTTCCTGTCATCGCCATATTTCCTAAGACCACTTTCAAGATTCTGGAGACTCTTCTTGATAGCCTCTTTCCCTTGCGATTCCATGAAATCCACGCATGCGATCGGGTACTCGTGAGTCATCTTGAGAGTGAAATGTGGTTTCAACTTCCACGAGTCCATGATTCCATCATCCTTGTTTTCATCGTCGTTGGACTTAATGTCGCTTCGGCATAGACCTGCATACCGTTTAGCGTCTTTCCAATTGGTCATCCTACTCTCAATCCCATCCTTGTCAAACCACAGCTCCATCTGCTTGGAGTAGGGAAGCACTCCAAAGCTGTGAGTATGGAGTGACAGGGAAATATCGTTCTTCGATACACGTCGTACTACGACATGTATGTTCTCTTGATCGGGTATTTCTTCACCGATCCTCCCCGGTACTCCAACATTTGTGCTCGGACAAAGCAGTATATCGCGAGATGTACAGTTCTCGATTGTAGCACGCCAATCGGTGAAACCGCCCAGCGGGCAACAACTTTTCCGCAAATCCAGTCTGCGGGCATAAATCTTTCGCCAATTCAGTCCGCGGGCATAAGTCGTCGCGCGCATAGGAATCGACACTTGGAATCCGTGGCTAAACTTGAAAGCGTCCTCAACACTCTCGCGCGTGATTCCGAGCGCATACCACAACAACGTCAAAAGATACGGACAGGCCCACGCTGAAAAACGGGTGGCCGACCTGAAGAATAAGCCAAAGGTGCTCTCAGTATAATCGACTGTAATTCTCTCCTGCCCTGTCACAGAGAGTAGACTGTAGATGCGATCGCGAGGATCGCGGCATTCCAGCGTGCGACCGAGCTGGTAAAAGATGAACCAGAAGGGGATTGCTGAACCGTGGCGGAAGTAGGTTCCTTTCAGTAGCATCTGAATCCTCCTCAACCGTGGATCATCCTGACAATGATGCAGTAGCTCTTCCAAAGCGCGCGTTTTTGCCACGCTACAAAGGAAGATCCGTTGCGGACTCCGTACCGATAATAGCTCCTGAACAGTCCAGGCGCGGTTCCAGTAAGGGTGATTTGCCAAATCAGTCGTACAGATATCGAAGAGATCATTCCTGTCCTTGAAGCACCCGTCGTTGGAGCCAACAGCTGATGCCGTGTCCAGCGCAACCCATATGTCACCGTACCTTCTCAAACCAGTCGGCCCAACACCTAGGAGACCTTTCCTCTTCACATAGCGAGTCTTCTCCGAGGCGGAAACTGCACGCTCTATCTGCAAAAAAAGGTCTCGGATACGATTCTCTTTGCCATCACCAAGCCACACGAGAACCTCTTTGGCGTTCTTGTAGATATCTCCCATCCGCTGTACCTGCAGACTCTTCTCGACATCATCGCTCTGATTGATACAAAGCGCGTCGATCCAAAAGTATTCACCGAAACTGCCATGGCTCGCAAGTTCCAGGAAGTCATAAAGATCTTTTCCGACTTGCATTTCTTGGTTATTTATCCTAGTTGGATTCGGCCCCTCTTGGTAATTTACCCAAATTGGGTAGGTTTCAGATTGGTCTCCCCATGTGTACGAAAGGCATCTGTATGCTGTACCCTCTGTGTCTTCCCACAGCTGAACGAGGACCTGACCAAAGGCGTCCGGCGCTATTACTCTGAGCAAGCGCACTGAATTTGGATTGACCAACGGTTCATACACAAATTGGGTTTGACTAGTTGGATACATCGCTTCGCTGTCCGTTGTTGTAATTTGAAGGTAGAGCAGTGACAGTCTAGCGACTCGGTCTTGAACTTAGGCTCAGAAGTTGCAAATGAGCTGATGAAGGCGTGGGAGGGTAGGTGCTCTACCACAGTACGGTCTTGAATCAAAACTCCCACTAGATTCAATTAGAGAATACGACCTAGGAAGTATCTCTTGTTTGTTGATCTTTCAGCAAATGGGCTCTTATCGTAACGTAGCGTTGTTGCAAGATGCGGGAGAAGCTGTCTCGTTCTCGACTTTCGCAGGTGAGCCAGAGGCGGTAACACCTAGGATGCAAAGAGTCGAGCGCGCCTTCGACTTGGAGCTGGAATTGGGTTGGATCACGCTGGTCATGGAAAATGCGCTTTCGCACGCGGGACAATTGCGATAGCGTTGACGTGATTCGCTGAGTGCAGTCTGTGACACACAGGCTGCGGGAGAAGCTCACACGATGCAAGAACAGAAAGGACAATCGGAAAGATCAGGCTGGGCACCTGGGAAGAGTCGCGGGCGTTGTTGTAGTAGGAGCGATGGGCGTCCAACCGTGCGCTGCTTGCCTGAAGCCAGCCACATATCACGTGTGCCGCCTATGATTCGTCCCGAGCCTGGAAGGTCATCACTAATAGCCCGCCCTGCACAACACCAACACCACGCATTCACTATCAGCCTAATCACGCAAAACATCCAACAATCGATCAAAAAAGCGGCTCGTATTGATATAGCCAGTCCCACTTACTCTGACTACTACGCATACCTTTTCCGCCATACCGGCGCCATGCCGTCTCACCACCCCCCGCCTGCGACAAAGGAAGATGATAACGTAACCGTGTGGTAGTTTGCCCCGCTATATAAAAGTAACGCCAAAATAGGGATATGAGGTATCGTGCAACGAAGCCAGAACAAAAAATAGAGAGATAGACGACGGGTAGCAGATGAATGTGCAATCATAATGCTTGAACAGCAAACAAGAGCAATGTCGTTATAAAAAATGCAGTCCGCTCCGGGATAAAATGGGTATATGTGGTGTAGATAGTTCCGAGATGCGATGTGGTGTAGATGCGATGTGGTGTAGATGCGACGTGTTGTAGATGGTGTGGATGACGTGGATGTGGTGTGCTCAGATGCGCACAAAGTTGGTGGTGCTCGCGGCGGCTTGGTAGTTTTGTGCTGGAGGTAGGGAGGGCAACGAGGGCAGGGATAGACGCCCGGCTGTAGTCAAAGACCTGCACTTAGCTTATCTGATCTCAACATGAAAGATGAAGATAAGAAAAGCTGCGCGCTAGGGATGGGTGGGTAAGTAGGAGAGAAGCACTAACGCTCTCGGAACCATCTTGCGATCCTGCTCTTCTCGTCGGCTCTGCCCGCCTCGAGATGGGTACTGCGCTCGTAGAGTTCCTGGATGATGTCAGTATACTGGAAATACCAACAGTGCCAACAGTGAGGAAGACTTACTTCGTCGTCTTTGTTGATCTTGATGTCCAAGATCAGATTCCGAATCTCTTCGCATCGCTGCCAGTTCGGGTACGGAGTACCCTGCGCGCGTTGTACTCCGACGATGACTTCGCCCATGATCTCAAACTTCCGCCAGTTTATCCGCTCCTTGCCGACGACCCCGCCTGGCGGTGGCTCTCGGCTATCGCGTTTCCCTACGACGCTTTCCAAGACGCTGACGCCTGGGTGGGGTGCGAATGCGGAGTCTGTCTTCTTCTTATCCCCGACGAAGGTTGAGTTGCCTTCCGAAGCCGATACGAGGTCGCGGCGGTGTAGTGGAATATATGGTATGCGCTCGCCGGAACTATTCTCCCACGCCAGTCGGTATGCGGAGTGCGACTTGGTCTGGCCCATGAGGATGTCGAGCTTCCAGAAGTCTTGGTTGGTGGCCTGAGGGACCAGCTCCCGAGTCGCTACCAGTCGTCCGATCGCGGTGCCGTTGATGCCTGCCATTACGGCACCTAGCATGTTGTAGTTGTTGAGTTTCCGAAGTTGTCGTGCAATCTTCATCCACTTCTCCATCATGAGCGCCCTGTGCTTGGGCTTGTCGCGCAGGAGGATGTAGTTGGTGACGAGGTAGGCGACGTGGTTGAAGTGCTCGGTCATGCGGGTCACATTTTCGAGATTCTTGCACCGCTTCTTCTCTTCGGCATTCAAGCTGACGTGACGTACAAGATCGCGTGGTCGTACCGAGGAGAACATGATCCAGTCTATCCGGGTGAGTTCCTTTGCGATGGCTTCGTCCGATTCGCCCATAAGCTGGTGCCACTGAATCTTGGACATGGGCTTGATTGGGTTGGGTTCCAGTTGTCGGGCGAGTCGCTCGTTCTTCTCGACTTGGGTAAGCAGGATCTGCGATGAGCCCATGGAGCCGTTGGTGGAGGAAGCGCCACCGGTTACGCTACTGCGGGCAACCGAATTCCGTGCCGAACTGCTCATGGACATGTGGCCGAGTGCTCTTGAGAACTCGTCCTCGTCGGAGTCTTCGTCCAGGACGTTGTTGTGGAATGTCGGTATGTTCTCGTTCTGGGCTCGTTGGCGGTCGCTGCATGCCCAGTCGGTGTCGTCGTCCTCGGTGACCATTTCAAGATCGCGAATAATCTCCGTTGCGGCGACGGAGAACTCCCGGTTCAAGGCCAAGGACGAGGCAAACCTCCGAATCAGACGGCGTGTGGTAGGGTAGGCAAAGTCACCGGGATAGTAGGCCACCCAGTGTTGCAATATCGACAGGTAGCGGAGCTGGGCAATGATGCGGATCATGGGCAGTTCTTTGTCCTTGTTCTGCGACTCGAAGCGCTTGATGATGGCCTCTAGTAGCTGGCCCGGGGTTGCGAATCTCCGATACAGAGCCAGGAACACGGAGACGAACTTGGAGTCGTTCTTGGACATGGGCTGGGCGAGCAGTCGGTCGACCAGCTGCTCGAAGGTGTAGCCATTCTCATCCGACGGCTTCACCGACATGATGCTTTGGCCGGCGTCCGAGTCGTTGTCATCAGACTCTTGGGAATCATAGCCGGGGGACTCTTCAGCGTTGAAAAAAGTTTTGTTGGTGTCGCTGGGCTTATAACGGTGGCCCTTGACCTCGCTTGAACCCCGTTGAAACCTCATGGAGATCTCCGAGCTAGCCCGCTCGTGCTTGCGGCTCCAAAGGTCCTTTTGGGTGATTGATTTCACGGCGGAAGAGTTGGCCCGGCGCCGCGCCATGGAAGCCTGGGACCTGGCTGCAGGGGGTCAATGACTTGCACCCTGGAATGGGCATTGGGGGCATGGAGGGGCATTAGGGGCATTGGGGGGCATTGGGGGCATTGGGTATGGGCAATTGGGCGTGTAACAAAAGGAAATGAGCCACTTACGGCGCTTGGCGGCTATGGCCGCGCGAGTGATGACGGACAGGCATCCTCGGTGCGTCTCCGGGGACGACTCGGAGGTCTGAAACACGCTCACGTCTCCAATGAAGGACTTTGCTTTCTGCTCCACAACCTGCGGATCGACCTCGCGGTGGGCGGGGTGCTGATCGCACTTGCAGGCGACGAGGATAAAGGGCAGGTGAGCCTTGGACAGTGTGCCTGGACTCAGTCAGCATGTCGCGTACGAGGCGCGTCGGCTGACGCGATGGCGGGGTACGCACTCAGCATCTCCGGAACCTTGCCCAGGCTCTCGTGGTTTGTGACGTCGTAGAGGGTGACGGCGGCGTCCATGCGCGGCGTCGCGAAGTCGTGCACCGTCTCAGGCCATTTGATGATGCTGCGGTCGCCGACGTGCACGTCGTTGAAGGTCATCTCGAGGAAGCGCACGACGTAGGGGGTGCCGTCAATGGTCATGCGGCGCGAGCAGGAGGTTGTCGTGGCCGTGTCGGGCAGGCCCAGGGCGCGGCGGATGAAGGTGCTCTTGCCCGAAGTCCGCGCGCCGATGACGGCGATGTTGAGGTCCTGCATGGTTGATGCCGAGTCGCTGGTGGACTACATATGTAAGTTACTACAGTCCCCCCGCCATATGAATATAGGAGGACTCACGCTCGAAGGCTCCGAGGCATCCAGGGCCTGGCGGTCCTTGTGGTGGGTGGGCGAGAGGGGCCCCTCGGTGTCGGACGACGACTCGGCGCTGCTGTCGCCCTCCTCGTGCTGGGTGGAGAGGGTGGTGGGCTGGGGGAAGTGGTAGCGCTGGAAGAAGGCATCGTCGGCAATCTCGTCGGCCTCGCTGGCCTCGTCGGTGCGGTCGAGCTCGCTCTGGCCGTCGGTGTCGCTCTTGGGCACGTTGGGAGCCGAGTATGCGCGCGTCTTGATGCCGGGCCGCTGGGCTGAGGTGCCCGCGCTGCTCTCTCTGCGCGGCGGCTGGGCGGCCTGTGCCATCTTGCCCTTGTCTGTCGGCTTCGAGGGCGGCGCGTGGACGGCCCTGCTGCCTCCCGTGGCGGGCATGGTAAAGGCGCTCACAGCGAGGGCGGGCCCAGGTCAAGGCGTGTGCGACGGCTGGCGGCCAGGCGCAATGGGGACATCGGGGGATTGAAGGCGCTGGGGGCAGGCAGAGGGCGGGCTGGGGTTCAGCGGTATCTAGGTAGGCGGTCGTGAGGCTACGTCGTGTGTACGTCGTATGTACTGGTATGCAGTATTTCAGCGGGGAGAAGTCGAGTTCATGGCAGCCAACGGGGCCTAGCTCGCCTGCGCCAGACGATGCGCCCGCGTCGCTAACCAGCTAGCCTGCATCCCACCCTCTCCACACGACAATGAGACGCCTGAATCGCTGCATCCAAACCCCTT